AAAATGAAGACTTTTGAGAGATGCAAAAGCTGAAAGAATCAACCACCTGCAGACCTGCACTAGAAGAAATGTTAAAGGTAGTCCTTGAAGCAGAAAAACGATACCAGGTGGAAAAATGGGTCTACATAAGAGAAGGAAGAGCATCAGAAGTAGTACATAATACATACATTGCATAATATAGACAATATTTATTTCTTATTACTTTAATTTCTTTAAAAGATAATAAACTGTTTAAGAAGACATGGAAGAATATTGTTTTAATATTCTTAACTATACATGGAATAGTATAATATCACTTGAAGATAAGTGTGAAAAACATACATAAGATATACATATGATTGTGTGATATATAAACTCTAAAGCAACCATGAAAACAACCAAAAATACAGAAAATAAGCCAATAAAAAACATAAAATGGACTTATAAAAACTACTCAGTTAAGCCTACTAAAGCAGAAAAAGAGGAAAAGGAAAAAGGGAAACAGAACAGATGTGGCAACAGAAAATGTGTAATGCGCGCTGTCCTACCTCCCAAGCACTACCGAAAGTGGTATATGTTGCCTTTTACATTTTTAAGCATTGATTTTTGAATTGTATGATAACTATAGGAGAGGAAAATATGACGTGGGATTAGGAATTTCAGAGAAGTTATATTTATTGTCCAGAACAAGCATCTAGTTATTTAGTCAAGATCAGCCAAGCTTATCTTTTTTTCACTAACATCATAAGCAATTGTTTTGGGTCTAAAATGAGATTTAACAGTCCTAAAGCCTTCTAAATATATCATTTGATATATTGGACAGTTCAGTTTTTTATTTATTCCTTTATGCAATTAAGCTCCCCTTTTGATAGTGTGCCTCTGCACTCATTGACTTTTACATACTCCAAATAAAAATTTGTTGAAAAGCGTCATTTTAACCTCCGCCTCCTTGCAGTGCATAAATCACAGTAGAGCTTAAAAGACTTATCAATTTGGGAAACAAAGGTGCTTTTGTGCTTCGGTTTACATTCCCAGTGTGATCTAATGCTAATACCTGCTCCCATTTATATTTGTGTTCCTGATGTCTGTGGGGGAGATTTTAATAGAACAAAACGGAAGTCTTTATTTCACCTTGGCTTCAAGGGAGAAAAACTGGAAAAAACCCCCAAACCTCTAGCCAAACAGTAAGTTCCTCTGAAATTCACACTCTGTGCAAAGTGAAACCCTGAAACTTAAGCTGTTCCCTCAGCAATGATGCTCAAACGCCAGTGCCCTAAGTCTGTTAGGAATCTCAGGTGACCCTCTTAGAATCACAGAATTAGAGAGAGTTTGTCCAACTCTTGCTTTTCTGGTGATAGAAAACAAAATCACACCTTTGGGAATTCACAGATTCTTCCCTAATCAACCTGTTTAGGAGGATTTTCTCTTTGCGGGCTGGGTTTCCGTTTTTTTTTTTTTTTTTTTTTTTTTTTTTGGGTTTTTAAAAGGAGATTTGATGTTCTGATATTGAAAATGGCACAAATTTGCTTGTGTTTTAGAAATACCTATAACTGCTACAAAAGTGACATATGTTGATTTGATCACCTGTACCTGTCAGATGAATGGGTTGAGAGAAAAAGACAAAGGTCAACATTGGCTAGTTTGTAAGAATTTAGGAAATTTTCAATCGAAGAAAGAGAGGGTCGTTTATTTTTATTTTTATTTTTGAGCAGCTGACAAGCTTAAGAGAAATGAGGACGTGAAGTGTGCTATGAATGGCATTTCCCTCCAACAACGTTTTGGTTAATATTCAATTTTATATCAAATGTTTTTGACTGTTGAACTGGAGTCTCATTGAGTGTGATGCCACCTGAGACCCAGGTGTTGTGGTTATGCTTATCGTCTTTGTTGTAATTTAAAGAGAGCAGTAGGTATTTTCAAGGTTGTAGGCTGTGGGAGGACTCAGGAATTGGGGGCACTTCTCAAGGGCAGTCATTCTCCCTCCAGTCTCTGCTACCTCAATCTTGGGGGTGGGGGAGGGCTAGTGTGTTCTTCTGGGGTTTCTTCTCCCAGTGCCTAAGAAGTACTATTCCTCCCCATATCAGATATCCCAAGGGCATTTCTACTTCCTTCGATCCATTCCCACCTGTCCTTTATCCTGCACAAAGGGGTCCCACCCTTTCCTGTTTTCCAAGGTTAATGCAAAATTTCCTCTACCTTGCTTATTTCTGGGTAATTGCAGTGGAAACATTTCTGGGTGGAGTGGGTAGAATGTGAGGAGTTAAACATTCGGGCTCACATGACTGTCTTCAACCAGAAATACAGCCTTTAAAGTGTATTTGTTGGCAAAAAGGAAAGAAAGATGAAACAGAATCCAGAAGCTTGGAGAATGATTGCCTTAAGGTAAATGATCTGGAAGTGTTACGTTAAACATGGCTTAAGGCTCTGCAGGAATGTGGTTCTTGGGGCACGTGTATGGCAGAAATTGGGTCTGTGTCACATTGTGTGTGACAGCAAGGTCATGGGTGAGAGGACAGAACTTTGAGCACAGACACAAGAGGGTCTGCGTCGGCAATACATCCTTTCATCTAAAACCAAAGTGCAGCTTGTATGGCTAATTAGATGAAATCATTATTTAGGTTCAGGGTTTTTACGGAGAAATTTCTAGCGCCTGATTTGGTGCGTGGTTCTCGTGCAGATAAGAGTTACATGATCTTTTCGTGGTTCTCATGGTTTTTTAATGAGTCTGGGGTCGGCTGTCCTGCGCATGGAGGACTGTCTAGGTCCTGGGTTTGGTTCCAAGCCCTCTGCAAACAGCATCTCATTTAATACTTACAACAATCCTGCTATGTTACCACCGTTTTACAGAGAAAGAAGCCAAGCTCAGGGAGGAGTTGGGCACAAGCAGCCAGCAGTGGCAAGGTAGGGACAGGAAGCCAGGCGGTGTGACCTCCCGCGTTTAGGAAGGCACAAGAAGGCATAGTGATGCGCCATTTATGCACAATTAGTGCGGAGTCTGCCCTGCGACGCATTGCCTGGGGCACCTGGGGAGAGGCTGAGGGGATCCCTCCCCACCAGGCCCTCCTTCCTCGTCTTGCTCTTCCCTCTACGTTAGCCCTGCAGGTAATTAGTCTAGTTGGTGGGCTCCCGCGCTAGACCGGGTAAGTTGAAAGAAAAGGCAGGCGGCGCTCATCAGCTGCGTGACACTGAGCAGGCTGCTGCAGCACCTTTCTGAGCCTCATTTTCCTCGCAGGCGAAGTGGAGGTGAGCAGGCCTACGGGGAGGGATTGTTTTAAGTGGTGAACGACAGAAGGCGTGTTCCTGAAACACGGAGGCTGCTCAGGTCTCTCTGTTCTCTTGCTGACCGCGTCGCCCCAGCGCTTCGCACGTAGTGGGCACACCAGAGGCAATACTGGTTCAATGAACGCAGTGCCAGCAAAAGGAATGTTTCACCCTTGTCGGTTTTTAGTAGTATTTCACGCAGAAGAGCTCCGAGTGAGGAAGGTCCCCCCTCCCCTTTTCCAGGTGCTGGTAGTCACGGGCAGGAAACAGCGAGTCCGGGCGTCGGTTCCCGGTGGGTACTGGAGCGGGTGCGGGTGAGGTCGGCAGCTGCGAGGGCGCAGCCGGGGCTAGGGAAGCCGCAGCCGCCGGC